ACCAGCTTGACCTCCCACCTCCCTCCTCTCCCAAAGTCCAGCAGGAGAACCAGCAGGAGAACCAGCAGGAGGACCAGCAGAGGGACCAGCTGGGGGACCAGCAGGGCCTCCCATCCCCTTCTCCCAGAGTCCAGCTGAAGCCGCTTTGGACCGCGGGCATGGCAGGCGGCGTCCTTCCGGACCCAGAGATGGTGGACCTGGACCTGAGCCGCCGCCGCCAGCGGCGCCAGGCCGGCGGCGGGGGCGAGGAGGACGAGCAGCTGTCCACCTTCAGCCACTCCTACGAGAACGAGTGGGTGACGGCGCCCCAAGCCACCGAGTTCAGTACCTCCACCCAGGACGCGGAGCAGGGCGGGGGCCAGGGGGGGGGCCAGGAGGCCAGCAGCCTGCAGCCCAACACCACCAGCCCGGACCAGGACGCCCCGGGGCTCTTCAACCCCTTCCGGCCGCTGGGGGAGGGCTCCTACGTGGCCTACGGCGTGCTGTTCCTGGGGGGGCTGGTGCTGGCGGTGGGCGTGGTGGGCAACATGGCCGTCATGTGCGTGGTCTGGAACAACTACTACATGAGGTCGGCGTGGAACTACCTGCTGGCCAGCATGGCCTTCTGGGACTTCCTGGTCCTGGTGCTGTGCCTGCCCGTGGTGGTCGTCAACCAGCTCTCCCATAGGAGGATCCTGGGTGACATCACCTGCCGTATGGTGCCTTATATGGAGGTGGGTGGGGCTTGTTCCCAGAGGGAGAACCTCTGGTTTAGCTCCAGATGTTGAAGTATTGAAGCATCTGGAGCCAGTAGGCTCTGCAGGTTCAGGGAAAAGCTGGAAGTCAGGAGCTGTTTGGACACGGCTCCTTAAACTGATCCTGATGAAAGATCCAAAGAAAAGCTGCTTAAAAATTATGTTAACAATCATTCTAGCTGTTGTAAAGTCGCACAACATAATTATTCTGACTTTAAAGTGAGAGTGACTTTATGAGATGCTCAGTTTTTAATTGATTCACATCTTTTTTTGCAGGAAATATGAAATATGAAACATTTTATGGAGTAATGTTGAGTCAATCTACTTCAAACCTGTGAAGAAATAGTTGATATTCTTCAACAATTAATATTTTT